ACAGTCTAAAAATCTAAATCTTCATGTAGGTCTGGATATGCATGTATCATCATCATCATCATGGATACATCAGAGCACCCCATAGCAGAGTTCCATGGAGTAAGAGTACACTTTACAAAGCCCTTAGGGTTTTTATGGTCTTCCCAGCTTCAGGCTTGACCTACAGGCCCATCAAAATTAACTTATAACCCAATGCAGTCAAGCTAGAGTGGACACTAACTTTTTATTTTCTAGTTTCTTCTTGTTAGCTTCTACCACTGAAATATGGCAATTATAAACCCTAGCAAAGATTTCTTCATTATTGATAGTTTTTTAATATGTTTACAATCATAATCTCTAAAATTACTATATTGCAAACTTCAAAATTATATCATTAGCAAGCACAATTTTACTCCCTACTGTTTTTAAGATTATATATATTTTCAGCTACTTTGATTTCATTTTTAAATTATTTAAAAAGTCAACTGAAAAAAATATAAAAAGTCAACTGAGCACTATATATACACACAGACATTTCTAAAACTTAGACAAATATGTGAATTTTCTTATAAACTTTCCTTCCTGTTTTTATCCCTGGTGAGTTGGTCATGTTTGTCCTCTCTGACAAGGACACTAGTGTTCATATAATTTTCACATGCACACACACCCTACATACAAACTCACTGTCTAGGTGATATTTGCAAAGTAGACATATAAGTATTATTATGTACATAGTGATATACATAGTGATAATTTTCAGTTTGCTTTTATAAAATCAGCAAAGATAGTGTCCACTCTAGCTTGGATTCCTAATGATAGTCTGCTTCTTTGTTTTAGAAGTTAGGTCTGTTATGAGGTTATGTGTGTCTAGCATTTTTATTCTTTGATTGATTTTTAACTTAATATTGTAAAAATATTTCACTTGCTCCAACTTGGGAGGGATTTTATTTCTAAAGTACAGGCCCGATACACAAAATTTGTGCAAGAGTAGGCCTTCCTTCCCCAGGCTGCCAGCACCAGCTTCCCTCTGGCACCCGTGACCTGGGCTTCCCCCTCTGACCACAGGCGGGCACCCAGGACCCGGGCTTCCTTCGCAGCCCCGGCTTCATCCGGAAGGTCATCAGAAGGACATCTGGAAGGTCATCGGAAGGATGTCCAGTCTAATTAGCATATTACACTTTTATTATTATAGATAATCATGTGTTTTCCTCACATATAAATATAATAAATATTTGCCAGCGCACATAAAATTAGTACATGCTGCATTGTATATATTCATATTGTCTAAATTTGTTACTAGCAAGTGTTATAATGACAATGATGCTTGCTTCTTAAAAATGTCAAGTAGATTGTTAGTTTATAGGCCCTTATAGGGAAAGTTTGTGATGCTCAATAATATCCAAAAGAATCCAGTGAGAAAAACAACTTAAAATGTATCTTCAATGGTTTAATTTTCCTGGAATATAGACAATCCTGGTAAAGTCTGTGAAGCTAAGATTTCACCCTTTTTCAGGTGGCAGTTAAGATGCCACAATAGTCCCAACGCAGTTTGCCTCAGCTTGCTGTTTCCCAAAATGAGGATAAATGAGTGGCCCGAAGGGAAAATACTCCATGTTAACATGACAGCCAGATTGGCGTGCTGCTTCTGCACTATAAGGAAACACCAACCCGTTAATACAAAGGAAGAAAAATGAAGTATGAAGAGGAGGAGGAAAGATAACACTATCTTCATGGCCTTTTTGTGGGCTTCTGTGCGGAAGTCCTTAGAGCTGGAGTTCGTGCCCACATTCCTGGTATGTCTCATCAAGGAAAGAGATAAAAGGAGCAGTGAACTCAGGGACAGAAGAAAGGGAATTAAGTAGATAAAATTAGAAACAATCAAACTGTTAAGATACAGAGTTTCACTTACACCTGGAGTCCATGTTGAGTTTCTTTCATGTATATTATAGACCTTAATCCAGAAACCATTGAATGAGTCTATTAACACAAGTTTCAAAGACAGGAAGAACAAAGACCCCAGTAAAAGCACAAGTAGCACTTTGCCAATTCTCCACCTCAGCCAGGCAAAGCAGGGGTGGGAGAAATTGGCTATCTTAAAGAAATAGAAAATGCTTAGACAGGTGGCAAACCAGGTAGCTAGGTGATTGCACAGTATCCAAAGAATGCCAATAAGTTTTGCTAGTTTATCAATGGCATAAAAATGTGGCCACAACACCATTAGAAACGAGTCAGCTAGTGATATCCAAAGAAGAGTGATTCTGGAGAGAGCCAGGCTGGTGAGGATGCAGTCAGCTGCTGAGAGTTTTTGACTCTTCACCCAGTCAATGCAATTAACTAGTACAATGAACCCATTCCCCAGCATTCCGGCTATGAATTCTCCCATTGCAGCTACCAGGAAAAGACTTTCAGCTCCAGATGGCATTTCTGTAGAGGAATCCAGAGAGCTAATATTCTGTCTCACTGATGTTTTGTTGTCAAAATGTAGAATAATATCCAGCTGGGTACTTTTCACTTTTATATTTAAAATGCTCAAAAAATTCAGATACTGTCTCACTTATCTTCTGAAAGGTTTCTCTTTTATTCCAGCTGTAGGTCTGAAATATGAGCAAGGAGATTCAGTCTCACAGATCTTAATGAGAAACTTTACCATTAGTTTCAATCAGCTACCCATTTCCAAATTAAATAGTAAATGTGCCCATTCATCATTGGCACTGGCAACAATTTTCCACTTGTGAGGACATCTGGAAAAGTAAATTCAGGCATGCAAATATGAAGTAGATTTACCTACGCTGATTTGTACTTGCCATTTCAGTTGAAACTCAGTACTAGGATTCACGTTTCTTAATTTTCATAGATTTCTCTAAAAAGTAATCTCCATAATACAAGCATATTTTTTTAATTTCACATAATAAAAATCCATGTTTTAGTCACTATTGTAGATGAAATAAGTGTAATAAAGGGAAGCAACATGAAGCTCACAGAGTAATGGAAAAAGCAACATTAGATAAACTATTACTATTGAATGTGACAAGTTTGACCAAAGTACAATTCCAACACAGAGGAGGGTGCTACAAAAATCTATGGTCAACAGTTAATTCTAGTTTCATGAGGATAGCAACAACTGGCTTGGGCCTGGAAGCTTTTTGGTATTTCTTGAAGAAACAGATAAAAAGGGAAATGATTTTCCACAATGATGTAAAAGTATATGCAAGGGTACCAAAATCAGACCTCTAAGATTTCACTATGAATTTTTGAGCTTTGTTTTCACTAAATTACCACCTATTTGATTCTGAATAAGTTATTATTAGCTGAGAAAAGGACAATAGTAAAAACATATGGTTAAAAAAAGGGGAGGAGGTGTAAATCCTTACTGGTAAGATAGTCTGCCTGTTACTGGAATGTGCCAAAACCAAATAAAAGGATGACAAGGCCTGAGCACAAGCAGAGTCCACCCTCTTGGGATGGGCTCTCGCCTAGCCCCCAATTTCAAAAAAAGCGGGGGGGGGGGAGCAAGAGTTGGAAGGGGTTTCTCCTTTTTAACTATGCTTTTGGTAAAATCTTTTCTGCCATAAAAATTAATTTAAAGTAAAATATATTGTAGCTTGCTTTTTGCTTCAACAAACAAGTACCTCTAATAGGGCCAATTTGCAGCCGGCCCCCACCACATGCAGCTCTTTGGCCCCTTGAGTGTGGCTCTTCCACAAAATACCACGTGCAGGCGCACACATACAGTGCAATGGAAACTTCGTGGCCCATGTGCAGGCTATTCTGGTCACAATGCATAAGCATTTGCATTTTATGAATAGTTACTCACTGCCATTAGAGCCTACTGGGATTTGATAGGGGATTGAATATACAGATAATCCCTTTACCTGAAAAGATTCTCCTCTTTCCAGATCTTAGTTCAATTGGCCACCCTGCCTTGCTCAGCTTTCAGATGAATTTAAAATATAACTTTGGCAATTAACTCCCTATCTTGGTTTTTATAGGAGGAAATCTTGCCTCTCACTGCTACATTGTACTCAAAAGCCTATGTTCTCCCAGGTTAACTCTGAAGTATCAAATAACACAGGATGAAATGAATAACAATCCTTAGTGACAGGTGTACTTATTAGGCACAATTGGAAGCACTCGACACAAATACTGGGTGTCCCCCCAAATATGTATACACACTTTAAACACTGCCTTTCCAAGATCCTCTGCTAAACACCATTACACTGTAAAAATTGTAACTGAATAAAACCCAACTGCACAGACTGGTTTTAACACCTATTAATCTTTAAAAAATTAAGTAGTAAAAATTAATTAAAGAGAAAAATAAAAGCATATATTTATAAATAGGAGTCAGGAATCTGCAATGAAAAACATTCTTTTGAAGTACTCAGTATTTACAAAATTTCTAAATATTTAAATTAAATATTAGTATTTAAATATTAAATAGACTCAAAAGGGAAACTTTATCAAAGACCTAAGCATGGAAGATATGTGTGATTGCTGTTAATAATGGGTTGGAAGTCTGCATGGGAGAAAAGTCAGATTTAAACCTAAATGACCTCCTGACACGAATTTTACCTTTTTGGAAAGTATAGAACACTAATTCCATCCCTTCCATCCAGATGTACATGTATTTGTCTGAATTAGTGGGGGGTGCTGTTTATGAGCTTGTTGACAATATAGATATGCAAAAGTATGAATTAGCAGCAACCAGATTTTACAGTGTTCTTCAGAAAATCTAGGATGCTTTTAATAGGAAAAGCTTGAATTCTTTCCATATAATTCTAGCATTAAAAAAAAATTCATAGTGATGATCACCCTAGTTATGACCAAGCTCTATTTAACAGTTTAGACATTCACTGCATATTGGGTTTTTAAGTTTTACTAATAAACAACTAATGTTGAACACAAATTGTGGAAAGGTCAAACAAGGAAAAAAAATTGCAAAACAATATGTCTTTATTTGCATCCTAGCAAATGAGAATTCAGCTTTCACTTCAACATCAGTTATGAAGTAATCCAGCCAGTGGCAGGGACACACACTGTTTGAATGGGAGTCCTTGGAAAACAATATTTTCCATAAAGATAGCATTGAACTTTTCTATTGGCATACCCTGAAGCTTTCCTGCTTGGCGTTGGTTGCAGAATTGAAACCAGAAATTCACTGCAAATTCAGAAAACAACTGCACATTGAATTTAAGGTCAGAATATTAAAGGAATCGCGACCAGTGATATTAGACTTGGATTTCTTTTTCTTTTTAGACAACATGGCCTTAATACCAGCCATTCTTTCCAGCCTATTGACAATACAATTTGTTCTAGGAAATGTTGCCAATGGCTTTATAGCAGTGGTGAACTGCGTTGACTGGGTCAAAGGACAAAAGATCTCCTGCGCTGGTGGAATTCTCACTGCTCTGGCAGTTTCCAGAATTGCTTTGCTCTATGTATTAGTAATAAATTGGTATGCAACTGGATTTAATCAAGCATTTTATAGTTTAGAAGTAAGACATATTGTTCATATTTTTCATATAATAACCCACCATTTTAGTCTGTGGTTTGCTACTAGCCTTAGCATATTTTATTTGCTCAAGATAGCCAATTTCTCCAGCCTATTTTTCCTTCACCTAAAATGGAGAGCTAAAAAAGTGGTTCTCATGATACTGTTGGGGAGTTTGGTCTTTTTGGTTTGTCATCTTACGGTGCTAAGCATAGATGAAAAAATGCAGATGAATGAATATAAAGGAAACATCACTTGGGAGACCAACTTGGGGGACATTATGCACCTTTCAACCCATTCTTTATTCATGCTTGCAAACTTCATACCCTTTACTATATCCCTGACGGCTGTTCTGCTGTTAATCTTTTCCATGTGGAAACATCTGAAGAACATGCAGCTCAGTGGCAAAGGAACTCAAGATCCCAGCACCGAGGTCCACATAAGAGCCATGCAAACTGTGATCTCCTTTCTCTTGACATTTGTCATTTACCTCTTCGCTCATATCATCTCACTTTGGAATTCGAGTACTCAGCGGAACAATTTAGTTCACATGGTTTGCAAGGTTCTTGGAATCCTGTATCCGTCAAGCCACTCATTTATCCTGATTTGGGGGAATAAGAAGCTGAGACAGGCCTTCCTGTCACTTCTGTGGCAGTTGAGGTGCTGGCTGAGGAAAGGGAAATAAGTGGGGCACCTTGTGTCTTCTGGCAGAAAACAAACTGATGGAGTCCATAACATTTGTTGAAACTGAAGAATTTATGTTCTACATTTATGCATATTTAAGGACTGACACCCCATCTCAGGAAATCATTGTTACTTTTCATTATAGTTAGTACCACACATATGTATCACAGTGAATATTGACTTTGTTGTTTGAACCTCCAATCCTTTGGATGGTAAGGATATTCAATTCTAAGTCACACACTGAGAATAGATGCTTGGCATAGATGTTCCATCATGAATTCTTACTTCATGGTCAATAGAAAGTAATTAGAATTGTTAGGAAAAGATGCACATAATGAAATGAAAGAGTGACAAACATTTAGAATGTATTATACATACATGTACCATAAACAGTACCAAGATTATTATATTTAATGCAATAGGTCAGTGGTCGGCCAAGCGCGGCTCGTGAGCCACATGCGTCTCTTTGGCCCCTTGAGAGTGGCTCTTCCACAAAATACCACGTGCAGGCACACATATATAGTGCAATTCAAACTTCGTGGCCCATGCGCAGAAGTCGGTTTTCAGCCTGAGCGAGTCTATTTGAGGAAGTGGCGTTGGAAGAAGTGGGGGTACATTCACTAAGGTCGACCCCTCAGATTGAAGATGTTTTTAGCAAAGGCCAGGTTAAGAGTACCCTAATAAGTTAATAACAATGTACCTACCTATATAGTTTAAGTTTAAAAAATTTTGCTCTCAAAAGAAATTTCAGTTGTTGTACTGTTGATATTTGGCTCTGTTGACTAATGAGTTTGCTGACCACTTCACTATACAACGTTGGAAATCACGGAAGCTCCATGAGGACAGGGTCTATTTTGTTGTTGACCACTGATCTATTTCCAATTCCTAGAACAGGATGGGCTTGGCAAATAGGCCCTCAATAACTTTGTGAAAGGAATGAGTGCTAATGTAGTTGGCAATCCTATTGGGAACACAGGAAAAGAGAAAATGAATAAGGCTTGACTGTGAAACTAGTAAAAAAGCAAGAAAAGAAAGTAACTCCTTAAAACTAGAGGAAATTTTACAACCTATGTACGAACTCATGAAAAAGTTCTATACTAAAACTGAAATAGCCAACACTGCACTCTAGTCTTTGTGGTTCTAACCAGAAGTCATACAAAAACTAAAAACTTGTAGTTCTAGCACCCAGGATGTGGGGGCCTTTGTGGGGGCTTTATTTTTCATGAAAGAGAGCTACTTCCAGCCCAGGGAATTGGAGGTGGGAAGGAAACTCTAGGTTTCGTGGCAGTGGGGCAATAGTCCCCCGAGGTCTCTGATATTTTCAGAAATTCTCTGACGTGATATAGAAGGCTACCAGAGAAGACTCCATTGGTAGGCATGGTTTAGCAGCTGACAAAAGCCAGATAGCAACAAGTCAGCCAGGAGATGATTAGTCATAAAAGAATACTTGGTTTCATAGTTACACTGAAGGAGAAACTTAATCTAAAGGATATCATGACAAATTATAAGAAATCACAAGCCCCATATGCTATGAGTTGAATTTTAAGTCCAAGCTAATAATCACATTTTTTTAAATGTGCATTAAGTATAGATCTGTCTCAACTCCTGGGTTGAACTGCCTCGACATGCTTCATTCTTAAAATGGTTGTGTTTTATATTTATCATGATAAAGGTGTTATTTTATGTATAAACCAGAGGCCTGGTGCACAAATTCATACACGGGTGGAGTCCCTCTGCTTGGTGATCAGGGATGATGGAGTGTGGGGGCAGGAGTGCCAGGGGGAGGGACTATGGGAGGTTGGCCCCAGCAGCAAGGTAACCAATGGCCAATTCTGCGAGGAATCAGGCTACCACC